CAGAGTCTCGCAGATGCAAGTAGCATTGGACATGGTAAAAAACATCACCAGCATGGGCATCCGCAGCTTGTGCAAACAATTTACCCATTAACCGGAAATTATTATTTGACTTTGCCCAGCTTTTCAGATTTGCATCTACGTTGGCAGTTGCCACCTTGCGTAAATTGGTCTGGTCATCTCCATCACAAATAATGCAGCATTTGACATCACTGCTTTTTCCATGTGATAGTCCCCGCTGATCTGAGTTTTTTTGGTGAACTCTGTGCACTGTCCTCATGTTTTTGACGCAGCCTCTTCACACAAGAACTACTACAGTAGCTCCTACACGTTTTGTGATACTTAGCATTATTGGATCGGAGTGTTTCTGCAATACCTGATCCATCATTTAGTTGATCAAAGGCGACTGTAATACCAGACGGAACGGCATTGATTGTCTTAAAGTCAGTCAGGTCTCTGTCAAGAGTCAAAAGTACTTCCTCCTTTGGTGTTTGCAACTGTCCACTTTTATCTGACTGGCAAAGACAGCAAAGTTCCCAATTGAAACTTTCCATTGTTGGCGCAATATCACAGGTACAATTTACTATTATTTTACCAGCACCACTGTTCTCGCCAATTCAGCTAAACACACCTACAAAGACGGAAAAATATGAACACATTCGCTGGAAAAGTAACCATATAGGCCACCTATGCGTGAGTAATGCCCAATTAGTCATGACAAAATATTTCAGCGGTCCTGGAAGAAGAGTGAGTTAAATTTTTCATCGCATCGGCCATATTGCAGCCATATCGTGATTCTGGAAGAAGAACAAAATACATGCCAGGAACAATTTATGTGACCTTTATGTGTTCAATAATATAAACCATCAACCACCAAGCAGTGCATAATCTCATTTGCAGACCAGAAAATAACCTTACTGTGTCGCATCAAAATTAAAATCAAAGTTTTTGCCCTTAATACTCTGACAATTAAATGGTCCAAAGCATATTTTGTATGTCAAAACAAAGCTCAATTTGTTATGGTTTTTTTAAATTTCTTATGTTGTTCTCATTTGTGAACTTTTTCTGTGAGGTAAAATGACCATAAAAAAGATATTTGATTTGAATAAAATATGTTTTCAACCACTAAATTGACAAAAAAGCACTTCTACATCAAAACAAAGATCACATTTGGAAGCCTTGAGGTCAAAAACCTACAAAAAGCGCCTCAATTCAGGATCCTATGACTTTTGGTTATGAAGTTAGGAAAAATCAAATAGGGATTGGCGGCCATCTAGGATATTGCCAATATGGCCACCCCAATGAGCGCTGGCTTTGGCGCCCTCCAAAAATGGATAAATTATGTTCTGGTCTACATCTGTGCCAAATTAGATGCTTGTAGACACCTCTGCACAATACCTCATAATGGCTCCCTAAGGGCCTGGACTATACTAGACCCTACATAAGTTTCCGTTGACCTCTTAGTAAACTTCTCTAAATTTGGTCCCTAGCCAAACAACTTATAGGTACATGTGCAGCTAGACTGGGTTCGGTGTATTCTTAGGGACTGATTAGATATTCCAACTTTTTTCCCTGAAAAGAAATAAGGATTTATCCAAAATGAACTATTTTGAAGCAGTGGCAGAATATTTACCGTCTCTAAAACAAATTCTTATCAAAAGAAAGCTTTCTGTATTTCAGACATGTTTCAAATATTCGCCTTTAAAAAATATCACGTTAGGACTGATATTCGTGAAAACTGTCGTTGGTACTCAACATTGTTAACTAAACGACACTGTCAAAGGAATTTAGGGGAACAGTTGCATGTGTTTGTGACGGGTTTTCAAATTTTCGCGAACCCCTGGTATCATTAATTAATATGCGATAGTGATTCATAAACACATGATCATAATATAGTCGGTATCGTACAATCGACTCTGCTGTTTGTAGAGATTTCTTATAGTTATTGAAATAGTTGTAAAGCTGTTATTCACAATACGCGGTGGCTTGGCGACTGTGTGCCCTGTCACGACCTCATGGACAATCAGTGTGTAATTCACACAGTAACTGATCTAGAGATATTGATCTATATTGGTTCAGTCAGGTCAATAGGAACATGGGCAGTCATCTACTGGACAAGAGATAAACCAAGGTGTGATCCCAAGGCCAGTCAAGCAAACCAATCTGCTGTAAACATCATTGATAGACCTCAAGAGCCTAGAGGCTTGTTTATATCACTGTGAGCCCTGGTCTTCAGTAAGTGATACAGTTTGTACACACGTCGTTCATTGCCTAAGAGGCGACTGACGGGCTCGGGTGGTCAGGCTCGCTGGCTTGGGTGCAATTGAGTGGATCGATGCTCATGATATCAATCACTGGATTATCTGGTCCAGACTCGATTATTTACAGACCACCGTCATTATAGCTGGAATATTGCTGAGTTAGGCGTTAAAGAACAAACAAAACATGTCGTTCAACTCTAAATATAGGGAATCTAGATCCAAAAATATCCTTTTATCAGAAATGGGTTGTTTTACGAAAATAATATACACATGTAAATCCATATAGATATTCGAATTCAGCTTATTTAGTTTGTCTTCGTTGATTAATAATAACATCACCGAAATGTTTTCGTAATAGATATAGCCAAATATATTTTGGTCGTTCGTTGTCATCAATAGGTCTCTACGTGTACTTGGATGAATAAGATGATTAATCCTACCGGTTAATTAAAAGTGAATCTTTACAGACCTACAAACTTTACTTCGATGAACAATTTACCTTTTCCGCTTGAAACCCGAACGTTCAATCACCACATTCTGTTTGTGTGGTGGTTTTATTTGCGAAGCACTTATATGCATAGCCTCAGCGAACGCTGAGTAATTTATTGCATCATTCTGTAACTGGCCGTCACGGGAAAATGAAAAGAAATCATTTTAAAAACGGGCAACTTTGCATGTGATCTTTTTGTGTTAGTAGCTGGCAGCAATGTCGACACAAAAAACACAGACATGCAGATATAACTTCTTCAATAAAAAAATACAAAAATAAAACAATGTCATGGGATAACCAAATGGACTCCCCACCATGCTGTTTCTCCCAGTGATGAGAAGAGGGCGGTGGACTTCGCCACTGACTACAGTGACGTGCATGCTTTACCCCTGTCTTGTCGTATGCCCAAACAGAAGAATAATAGGGTGATGGCTTCACCCAGTGACACAACAAAGGCTGGAGTGTACAAGATGTATGTTGCATCGTCACAGAATCAAAGAACTATATCACTGTCAATATTTATATTTAATTCCATATGATTTAATGCGCCCGTCATCTGACGTATGTGGTTTTATTTTACAAAAATATCTCATGGAGGGTCATGACTGTTGTCTTACGGAGTTTTGTGATGGCGTCATTTGTGACGTCACTGGTATAACGAACGAATGAGTCATGCGATTGTATGTTATGTTTCATAACACTATAGCTGGCCTTTTTCCGTTCATGCATTAAGAAATCTCGTTAGTCGTGTCGATTCTGGTGAAGTGACCCGATAAACAAAGTGCTGATTTAATAAATCATGTGTCTGTGTATGATCGTGTGGGGGTAATGGGGGGCGGTATTGAGGGTGGGTACTAGGGACAGGATATATTTTTCATCAAACTGAACAATGAGCTGAAGAGCTGACTTATTTCTCACACCACATTATATGCTTATCTACCAGGACCTACTTGCCCGAAACGATCGATCTCAGCGCTTTGTTCGCAAATCTACGGTGTGAGTGTCGAATAAGCATCGAAGTAGCGTCGACATCGCGTTGTGTATGTTTAGCGAATACGTTGTTTCATTTTGGGTAAGACATTGCCTTGAGGACAAAATTATCCTCGTCATTTTTTATTAACAAATTTGTATTTGTTTTTTTGTTGTTGTTGTTTTTGTTTGTTTGGTTTGTTTTGTTTTGTTTTGTTGCCCTGCATTCACATTTAACACGCATTTAGCTTTTGTGGCAAGGTCAGTACATGCACCTGCACAACTGTCTATATCAAACACTCTGTTTCAAAGCCAAGGGTGTTCACCTACGTACGACTGAAGATGGGCGCTGATTCAGAAGAATTGAAAGGAAATAACTCATTCAGTGTTCAATATAAATACTCGGGGATTCAGTGTGGAAATGCTTTTAACGATGATCTTTTATAACAACACACTTGCTACACGGTGTATTTACAGTTCACAAACTTTAACATACACAAACTGTCGAAAATTGTCATAAAACTTCAAATTCCAAAGAGTGTTTGTCAGCCATGATATGGGCATGTTGCTTGGTGATATGACCTAGATACGGGGCATTACAGATAGGGTTGAAAGCCATCAATGAATGCGCTCGACTGTTAATTATTTTCTGAGGAGGGCTGTCCTAGCCAGTTGCATACCCGACTTAGTGAGCCTATCCGTTTAAAACGCTACACATGTGCTCTCAACCAGGGAGACACAAAAACCTGATGTCGGACAGGCAGATCGAGTTATATAAGTACCACTGTGGCAAAATGGATATCTTAAAGTTTACTGGTAAATACATGTTTTTAATATACCGTTATGCATCGTTATAACGTGTTGTATTGTAAGCGGTTAACTCTAGTTACAATAGCATTATAACGAGGACATCCATTGGTTATATAGCACTGGTTACTGCTACTGTTATCAATGACAGCTTATTAGCGTTTTATTCAGTAGGTATAACCCACATTTACATCATGAATAAGTCAATAGAGGAGTTTATGTGTTTGCTAGAATAAGAGAACCCTTTTGATGACAAAAAGAGCGCATTTATTGGTTTCCGCTGTATAATTTTAAAATTTGTGAAAATAACATTAACAACATGACACAGAACCTGGTTCTCAAAAGAGAACTGTAAATATTGAGGCAGATGTATAAATATACGTTTTGTCAATAACGCAGTTTACAATAGCACCACACAGCTGTCAATGGCGTACTGACACGATGGTAAATAGTGTATGCAGTGGTCCGTCACTTACTTGTAAAAGCCCTTCTCTAGGGTCTCGATGATGGCGTTGCTGATCCTCTTCAGAATCCCATGTTTCTTGGGAGTTTTACTCCTCGATAACTGTTCCCTGCTCCCTGAATTCATTTTGAAGGAAGACGACACACTTCCACCATAAACGCCGCTCCGACCTAGTCGACACACCTGGACGCTTTAGCACACCTGTAGACAATGTTACACCAGGACGTATGTCATTACAGGTAAAATGATCTCACAGTTGAAGTCGTCGAGTCACCGCCATCTCAATGTTTCCTTCAACACCGCCTGGTTCCCCCACGTCTGGCCTGGATCCAATAGCTAAACAATGTGAACGAGATCCACCAAGTATTGAAGACCGATCGATTGATTGTATCGCGGCTTTCGGTTGTGACCGATCTCTGCATAGTCACGTGATGAGTCACGTGGCAACAAGTACATCCGCACTCTCATTTACGTGTGCTGTCGATGTACGTACATGTGTTTTTATTAGGGGCGTTTATTGCCTAAGCAATCAATGGCTTAGCGGGCGAGCTATGGTTATACAACAATGGCAACTTGCCAGGATTACAAGCTGCACGGATAAGTTGACTAGTTTTTGGACAATCCGCCCAGCTTATGCAACAGTTTCCTAATGTTCATTCATGCATGAAGCTTAAGTGGGGTCCGCACATTACATAAAGTAATTATGAAGCCAAATTATATGTGTGAGCATGAACTAGACTCTGTCAATATTTGGCTTGATATAATTTTATTGATAAAGACATTTCAGCGTTCACGCTTTACGTTTACATCAACAATGGGTTCTTGGCGTATGTCGTGATGGTATCGATTTGTTTTCTTTATGTAAGTATCGAACGCCATGAACCAGAAGGGTCAGAAACTGGAACGCGAAGACTAATGTACTAAAAAATTGTATCAACGTTGTCCGATCGCGAGATGAGGAGCACTTGTTATTTGACAATAAACTACAAACATCATGAAGTCTTTGAAATGCATTTAGAAGTGATACTGTACCACATAAGGAAGAGAATTTATGGATTGAAAATTTCTTTATTATGAGGAACACAACGTTTCGGAGTATATGCTTACTCCTTCATCAGGTTAAAGAAAATCTTTGAAAGGCATTTAGAAGTGATGCACATGAGGAAGAGAATTTAAGGATGAAAATTTCTTTACTATGAGGAACACAACGTTTCGGAGTATATGCTTACTCCTTCATCGGGTTAAAAAAAGTCATTGAAAGGCATTTAGAAGTGATGCACATGAGGAAGAGAATTTATGGATTGTAAATTTCTTTATTATGAGGAACACAACGTTTCGGAGTATATACTTACTCCTTCATCGGGTTAAAGAATGCTATAGGCAGAGAGCATATATATGTACATGTAAGAACAACAAAAGTAATAAGATAACAAAAGGTGGAAACTTAACAAGGGAAGCCAATAATTAGCGCTGATAGGTGATAAGCAATAGACACTGGACGCCAATACTTTACAGTAATTAGCGCTGAAAGTTATGGACAGCTGGAAGCCAGGACTAAATTATCACTGACTGGTAATTGGCATTGGGCAAACCTATCACCTGTTAGCGCCAATTATCTGTTGGCTGATGAAGGAGAAAGCATATACTCCGAAACGTGTGTTCCTCGTAATAAGTGAGTGAGTGAGTATGGTTTTACACCGCTTTTAGCAAAATTCCAGCAATATAACGACGAGAAATGGGCTTCACACATTGTACCCATGTCGGGAATCGACCCCGGGTCTTCGGCGTGACGAGCAAACGCTTCAACCACTAGGCTACCCGACCGCCACTCCTCATAATAAAGAAGTTGATATCAATAAATTCTCTTACTTACAAACATCATCTTTTTATACAAATTATATTTCAACATTCCTGTGAAAACATAACTGATAATTTTTTTACTGAGCGATTTATTTTTAATAACAATGGGTCCTTGACGTCTATCGTGTCGGTCTCGACTTTCTTGTTTGCCGAACTCCGTCATTTCCCCGAGGCAAGGGAGTTAACTGCCTTTTATAGTCAGTTAGCGCCTTTGCCTCGGGAAGATGAACTTCATGATCAGCCTCCTGAATGTTGTGAAGTCACAATGGGTAATGAAGCAGAATCTAACCACAGGGGTGAGGCACTGTAGAAAGACAGTGTTACCAAATTCAGTATGTGAGGGAATTAATCACATAGTAGTTACAAACATGGCGTAAGTTGTAAAATAGAAACTAATTGAAAGCAATTTGTTCACATTGTTTTAAACATATACAAGTGTTGATTGAACATTTTATATCAGGAAAAACATATTACTGTAAATTTGATTTGTTTGCCATTTTAATAAAGACATGATATTTTAATAATAATTCGTTGCTGCTGTGTATCTGCCTGGCTACAGTGTTTTTTGTGTATTTTCGTGTTTTCCGTTGTAACCGAGAGAGAAATAGAGGATTCATCACGAGTGTTTTTTAATATGGGAAATATCAACCGAGTCTTAGTTAATCGGTATTTGCCGAGCCTTTGGCGAGGCAAATACCGATTAACGGGACGAGGTTGATATTTCCCATATTAAAAAACACGAGTGATGAATTCTATTTATCATTTTCACATTTTTGCTTCCAAATTAAGGAATAATTGCATTAAACATTAACATCAGCAACTTGTCGAAATCTTACGTATAGATCGTGCGTAGTGATACATGTTTTCCATAGACATGTAAACCAAAATAAACAATTCGCTGAGAAAAAAAGTTCCTCGGATTATTTTAAACAAAATACTTGAACAGACTTTTGCAGAATAATTGAAACTTTAATAACGGTAACAACAACGATTCTGTGTAATCTGATTATATCTCTGGTGTAACTTCACTTATAATATATAGTTTCAAATCAAACCGCTCGCTCTTCCGGTTATCTAATTTGCATATCTAATTTGCATACTTATGTCATTGGGGTATGACATACATGTTTTTATGTCATAAGCTTATGTCATGGATAAATGCTTAAGTTAAATGATAAAAAGACATTGTTACCGGATATCGAATTTTCAATATCATTGTAACGTATCTACCGGTACCGTGAATTACCAATTTCAGTCTACGATAATATTCCTGTTAATCATCAGAGTAATGTGAGACAACGCATACGTATACAACGAATAGACGGAGCACCCAGAACAATAGGTAATGCTACATAGTGTAAAATCGGAATTTTGTTCTGAGAGCTCACCGTTCGCCTGGACCATATATATTTGTGGCACCCGAACCACTTGTCAAATCCGAGTCATCAGACGCTAAGATGTATGATGGATTCAGGGATCTGTGTATCGCAGCTGAGTGGGAACCATATGTGATGACATGAGCATGCCAAATGGCGGAAACTTCGCGGCGGAAACCTATTTTCTAAAACATTCCAAATGATTCTAGGGTTAGTTGCCTTTGTTTCGGAATGATAACTGGTGTCTTGATAAATACTGTAAATGTTATTGATCTTTAGTTGTTTGTTTTGTTGGAAGGTTTGTTGTTAACCTACTGGATGCCGAGTTTTATTTCTGACGCACATTTTCCTAAGATCGGAAGAGTGAAGGTTGTGCGAGAATTGCGCTCACGCGGCACTGGATCTACCTCTGGCTATAATTTTACGCAGAGGTGGAGAATATTAAATTTCCTATTTGATGGTGTAAATTTAACTGCACATATTAAACCGGTTTTAAAAAAGACAATTCTAAGTATTGTCCGAGAATTTATTCTGCGTTGAAAAACAGTAAATTTCTCCGCTCTTTATCGTACACCGATAAAAGTACTGTGTCACGATTTCTTTTATTTAGAAGATCTACGGAAACTGTGAGCGAACAAAATACTGCCTAATATCTGAACGACATAACTACATATCAAATGGAGTTATATGCGTATGTACAACGACATACATTCAATGCCAAAAATAACATGCCGTAAATGACGAAAACTGATTTTTCTCTATGACGTCAAAAGGCGACAGAGAGGTTACACACGTACAAAGAAAAGGGGGCATAACTCCGCTATGCTTAGCACTAGTTTATTGTAGCTCAGGTCACTTGATGAGAATTAGCTGTGGATAAGGACAAAATATTTTCGTGGTGTTTTGTTCAGGAGGAACCAAACTATTCCAACACAAATATCGATATTGAAAATGTATACGTTTAGTGATAAAATATACCCATAAGAAATGATGAAATCGTTCTTCATAAAAAAGGAGGTAATAGAGAAATGGATGGCCTTATCTAACCTATAACTTAGTCTTTAGATTCCAACATTCTCCTGATTGTGTAAGTGTAATTTGCATCATTATTAATGGAGCACTAGCCTTATCATCAAATGTAATGAAATACCCCAAAAAAATAAAAACCATTCCTTTTGACGTGAAGATCCGGGGTAGAATAGGTCTTCAGCAACCCATGCTTGCCGTAAAAAGCTACTATGCTTGTCGTAAAAGGCGACTAGCGGGATTGGGTGGTCAGGCTCGCTGACTTGGTTGATGCATGTCATCGATCCCAATTGCGTGGATCGATGTTCATGATGTAGATCACTGGATTGTCTGGTCCAGACTCGATTATTTACAGACCGCCGTCATATAGCTGGAATATTGCTGAGTGCGGCGTAAAACAACAAACCAAACAAAAACCTTTTGACGTCATGGCTGGTTTTATGTTTTTGATAACGTCGGAGAAAGACGACACTGGTATTTTGATTGATATATATCTCCCCTAGTTTTCGTTCATGGTATGGAAAATCTCGATGTGTGAAACGGAATTTGACGCTTTTTCGACACAACATAAAATGACTGCTTTCACCAAGTAAATAATGTCTCGAATATGTAAACAATTAGATAGTTTATTGTGTATCTTAATTGGACAAGACACGCACCTGTTTGGCATCAATTTACATAATGAAATACCCCAAAGAATATTTCAAAACAACCAAAATTATATTCAATATTGGACATATATTTGTTCATTATTATGTTATTATTTCTTACACAATAAAAGATGCGAAGAAAGCTCTATTGGTATAGAATTATCAGGATAATCGTATACGTTTGAACCAACGGGGTACCTGGCATGGGTTTTATTTTTATACAATTCCTGGAGAAATAAAGTAAACAGTTTAATATCCTGTGATGACAATAATGAAAAAAGAGTTAACCCATTGATTATATAATGCAAAATGAGAGGAATAATTCGTAAATTGTTTGTGACTAACGCGCGCACCTGGCGAATCGTTAGATATCACTGTTCTGTGTATCAAACGACATAATAAACAATTCCAAGACCAAGACAATTCTTTCAGAAATGTGTACATATATTTTATCGAAAAATAGTATCCATTTTGTTAAAGTAATATATTCAGTTTTAGTTATAAAATAAAATGAAACGGCTATTCATGGACATTGGATATATGAACTTATAATATTTACTATTACACATCCCAAGAAATACGTACATGCTGCAGTTACATTTACACTTCATCTTGTAACACTTGTCCAAAGGAAAGAAATATCGTATTCGATACTATAACCTATCAATTGTTATGTAAACAATGTTGAAACAAACAGGAGATTATCAAAGGTTCGTTCATACATGTTGTGGCCTATATTTCCGTATGATATTTTGA